CCGCCGCCTGCACCGACTGGACTGAGGTCTCCGGTCAACGGGAACAGAGTGAGAGCGCCTCGGTCTCGTCGGGCCACCCTCAGCCCTGCGGGTCTCGCACTCGCCTCAGGTGCTGCAACCAGAGCCAGGACCAGCCCATCGTGCTCGCCCGCAACCTGTTCCTCAGCCCCGGGTCCACGCGGCCTCGCTGGCCCTGTCCTTGGGCCCCGTAGCTCCTTTGTGCCTCACAGTAAGCCCGGAGTAACGAGTGGCACGGACGTGCGGAGAAAAGGGATAATATAGTCTTATTGGGTTACGGGAGTTTTGCCCTCTGGTTTGGAGCTACAGTGAAACTCCTCTCATCAGCACATCAAGGAGGACGCCATACTCTCATATAACTTTAACCCTTGGACATTTAGATATTTTTAGCTAATTTCTAAGTACTCCAGATAGAGATGCCATTTACACATATTATTCAAGCCAAATGAGTATGACATACAATTACAACTTTAAAGATCCTAGTGACTGTAAAGCAATACAATAGGCATAATTTTTCTTACCCTCTAAATTAAGGGACTACATCTAGTAAGATATAAAACCTGAAATAGTCATTTAAAGAATCATGAAGGGAGGAAAAAAAATTTTTAATTCTTTAGACATTCTAGCTAATGAGTTTCAACCATAAAGGAAAGTTAAATATTACTTAGTGTCTCCATCCCTTGAGACAGTTAAAGATCAGACGAATGAAGTTCTCAAATGTCTTCCTAGGAACCATCCTGCCTAAACCCAACAGAGGAGTTAAAGGACCTGTGTCCCTTCAGATAGTTGCATCTCTTAACTCAGAGAAGCATCTCTGAGTGACATCAATACAAACCCTAGCCGCCTCTTATCACTTTGAAGAAAATGTATTTTAGACAAAAGTACAAACTCCTCCCACCATACCTTGAATAGTGTCTTCTTTGGAAACTTCAGTCTCATCATCATCATTTAAACAATAAACTGTTTCTTTTTGTATATCTTCTTTCTTTAGGGTTCGTGCATCCACAACTGTCCAAGTCTTTTTAACTTTCTCCTGTAGAATCTTATTTCCAAAAGACAAAAAAAAAAAGAAAAACTAGGATTGAAGACTGATAGAAGATGAAAACCTAATACATTCTCTGCTTCACAAGAAAAAGAATTCAGAACAATTACTCTTGCTAGGATGCTGTGTTTGCTCCTGACTTTCATAGAAATCTTAATTTCATCAAAAGAAATACTTTATAATTCTCCCTACAGTACATTTTTCCCCTGGAGAAATCAACAAATATTTGTATCTGAATATACTAAACCCTAAGACTGCCTGATAAAGAGGGATCAATCTTTTTTTTTCTTCATTTGTGTATTTGGTACATGGTCTCACTATGCAGCTCAGACTCATAGTGATCATCCTGTTCTCAGCCTCCCAAGTGCTGGGATTACAGATGTGCGCCACCACATCCAGTCTCAGTCACCAGCTCAGTGCCCCCCAGGGGCAGGGCTGATGCAGCATGCGGGAGCGGGGATCAAACCCTGGTCCCTGCGCTTGCCAAAGCAGATGCTTAGTCCACTGAGCTATCTCCCCAGACCTTAAATAAACCTATCTTATCAAAGGTTTCCAATAAGAAACAAAGAAAGAGCAATATATGAGGAGTCAGAAATCAACAAAACCTGCAAAAGAAACCTGGATAAAGAAGAAAAGGAAGAGACTGTCCTCTCATTCCTAGGGACACAATTCTAGACCACAAAGGGATTTAAAAAAAAAAACAAAAAAGAAATTCCTCCCAGTTTCTTACAATATACCATGTGTTTCAGAGTTAAGTCCTTGAATATACAAAAACATGTATATTTATTTTGTGTAGTTAGAATATTTTTATTTTTTGTACATTTAAAGCAAAAAGCAAAGAAGCACATGTGGAGGCATGAATCAGATTCCTACTCAGACTGAAACTGATCAATCACCAAAAGCAATCCACTGTTGACAATGCACCAATACGCACAAGTGTACATATATTATGAAATACAATTTCACAGTAACAACTCACCAGTTTTTGACATTTCATAGATGCTGTTACTATCAGATCATCAGTAACTGAACCTCCGAAAACTGTGAATTTAACTCTGCTGCACTGTCTACATTTTTGCTACAATATTACAATGGCAACTCAATGCACTGCATTTTTTTCTTAAAAGAGACCTGAACTCATGATTAACAGTCAATTATCAATGCAGATAAAGAAAAAGAGGAGGAAATTAAACTGTTATAGACAGTTCTTAAAACTTCTCCTAGAATGCCCTTCTACATAAAGCTAAACAGAGATTAAATGAAAAGGGAGAACAGCTAGAGAAGCAGTAATTATGCTCTGAATAACCCACACACGAACTGTCAGCTCCTTACATAAGCTTTTTATCTGCCTGGTAACATTTATTTTAAAACTATGTAACTACCACTTACCGATTTATAGGCTACAATCTTTATAGACAAATTGGAGCCAATGGTCAGTAGGCAGGGCCAGGGCATGGAATGCCTCTCAATTTTCTTAAAGACACACAGTTGTCTCAGACTCTCACTTAATTAAAAAAAAAAAAAAAAAGAAAGAAACAATTTTAAAATGTTAACTTGTACTAGATGATACAATGAGAAGGAGCTACTGCTGACTTTTATAAAGAGAGAAATAGCAGGCAACGACAGGAAAATGACAACCAGGTTGGGGAGCCAGAACACAAGTGAGCTGGCTGAGGAGGAGGTGCAGCTGGAATCACTTCACTGGGAGGTAGAAAGGAGCAGCGCTGCCTCTCCCCATTCAATCATTTCTTTCAACTCTGCCAGTGGTTCTTAACACTTTTTAAGGAACAAGGACACCTTTGAGGATATGATAAAAGCACATTCACAAATGAGTCTGCATACAACATAAAAGATGTCTGAAAACAATGAAGCTGAGGATAAGAATCGCTGCTCTGAGCTATCAAAGGAAGGGCACCATCCTGTAACTTCTCTGCTCACAATGCTGTAATTCATTACTGGATGCGAACTTCTTCAGTAAAAGACATGATCTGTTTTTATGCACATATAATAGTTAAAATAAGGACTACCCAGGGAGTAAAAGGAATCAGTATCTCTAATCTTTTTTTTTTTTTTTTTTTAATTTTTTAGTAAGGATCTACAGGGTCTGCAGGGGCTCACTACTAGATCAGACTTGTGGTGATGCTCCTGTGTTCAGCCTCCTAAGAGCTGGGATTACAGGTGCACGCCACCATGCCCAGTCTCAACCGCCATCTCAGTGGGTCCCTCCCCTGGGGGGAGCCCACACAGCAGGCCAGGGATTGAACCCTGGCTGCTGCATCTGCCTAAGCAGGTGCTTTAATCCGCTGAGCTATCTGGCCGGCTTTAGTATCTCTACTCTTAAAGTAAAGTAGATAACTCTTGGTATTTTACTGACAACAAGGGCTAAAGGGGAAAAATACAATGTGAAGTGCTGCTTCATTTAACAGAAAATGAAGCTCAGTTTTATTTGTACCTGCCCTTAATCAAACATAACAGAGAAGATTACAGAATAGATTAATTCTATGCTTTGGTATTCATCCAGAGAGCGAGCAAAGGAATTAGTTACTAAACACAAAAGAAGTGTACAGATCAGATGTTATTACTGATCTCCTTGGTAAAGATGAAAAGCACGTCTACAAAGAGGTCAAGAGAACTACCTTATATTATCCACAGTTACGGACAGAAAGACCTCAACAGATTACAGTTCTCACCACTAATACACAATAGTAAATATCCTGCCTGTTAACTTTTTCCCAAAGTTTATAGCACACCTTGGCTTTGGGTCATTGGGGAATGAATGAGTCTAAGTCAAGTCTAATCTTTCTTATACCTTCATGGCAGACTTAATGTGAAAGTACAGTAAGTAGTCCCTTGCTATTTTGCAATTCGACTTTCACGGACTGTTTCACGGGTTTTCAAAAAATATTAATCTAAATTATTTATCGTGGATTTTTCACTGTATCACAGGATTTCTGCAATACCGTACAGTATATGTTGTTAAAGTTACATAGGTTTATGAGTATAGAAAATGGTTAAGAACATTATGTGCTTTTAAAACTGTGGGAAAGGCCTAAAGAGTGTGAAAAGGGTTTATGAAGCCTTAAAATATATATAAATACTAAAATAAATATAACATCACTACTTCACTAATTTTCACTTATCAAGGGAGTGTCTGGAATGTAACGTCCATGATAAGTGAGGGACCACTGTAGCTTTAATTGCTAGGACAATGCATGGTCGATAATTTACCCACTTGTTATATATTACTCAGCTTTCCCATTGCTGGGACACAATACTCAACATTCCCACTTACGGCGGAGAGATTTAATTTATTTTATAGCTTCAGGGGATTCAGTATATGATCCAAAGACTGCAAGACAGGAACATCATAGCAAAACAAGCTGCTTAGCTTATGGTAGCTAGGAAACCCACAGGGGGACAGCAGAAAGGAAGAAAGATGGGTCAAAACACAGACCCCAAGGCCACAACTCCATGGCCCACCCAGACACACCCAGGAATTAGTTCCTCCAATCATCCAGATAGATCTCAAATCCAATCAAGTTGATACTTCACCCTAACCACTATATACACTGGGGGGGCTGGAGGGGGTTAAACAGTAATTTAAACTGGTAAGTAAGTTTTCATTGTGTTACCATGATTGGGAAGTTAGTTTAAGGTATGTATTCCTAAATTGGAAAGAGAAGTAATTTAGGAATATTTATCTGTACCTATTGTGACAAGAACATATATTATGCTAAGAAGCTTTACTTCATTAAGATTCTTCATTAATTCCACTGGCAACCTTTTGGGAAATTACAATTCTATTTCCAAAATTTACATAAAATTTTTCAAGCATATCTATACTTAGAAAATCAGGATGCATTATTTGTCAATTACTGAAATACTTAAAACTGTGGATGGGGCTGGAGAGATGGCTCAGTGGTCTAAAGCACCTACTTGGAACAAGCTTGGCAAAGCATCAGGGACCGCGGTTCAATCCCCCAGCACCACATGCCAGCCAGCCCCGCCCCCTGGTGGGCTGAGCTGGCCACACACGCACCTCTCTCTCTCTCTCTCTCTCTCTCTCTCTCTCTCTCAAATAAATAAAAAAAAAAAAAAAAAAAAAAAACTGTGGATGCAAAAAAATTAGAGCAAATATACACCACAGCTGTTCAAACAATTCTACTTGTTGACTCTTTTAATTAAGAACTTTGCTTAAACTGCCTATCTTTTGTGTATTGATAGGCAAATCAGAATTCATAAATATCAAGCAGTACTACATCTGAAGATCTGAATCCACACAACCCATCCTGCTCAGCGAATTATCTGCCACTTTTGTCAAATCAGGGCTCTCACACACTATTCTGGATGCTACTGTCATGATTTGGGTCCTAGACGTCCCACTAAAGGATCATGGAGTTGGAAGACTGGCTGCTGATGGGTTTTTCAGAAGTGACTGAATTGTGTGAGGGCTCTAGCATCACCTGTGGGCCAATCCACTGAGAAGACCATAACCTGAGGTCATTTAGGGGAGGGGATAGGAACAAGAGATGGGGCCCAGCTGACAGGACTGTGACGCTGGGGTTACACCTGGTCCCAGGTCCCTCTCACTACAGCTCTCGCCCTGCCTCTACTTCTCCAGTGCCACAGGTGAGTGGCCCATTGGCCATATTCTGTCTCATCACAGGCCTACAGTAAAGGAACTGGCAGACCACAGAATGGAAACGGAGCCAAAATAAACCTCTGCTCCTTTAAGTAGATTTTCACATGTATTTTGTGACAGCAATAAAAGGCTGACTAATACATAGAGCTTTAGAGCCCTTTCAGGTTCTCTGCTCAAGATAAACATGTCTAACCTAACAATAAAACTAATAAAGGAGACACTATTCTCTTGTCTCTACAGATAGATGAAAACAGTTTACGGGATTGTTATATAGTACTTCAGGAATTTCACTTTTTAAAAATAATTTTACCATTATAACATCTATAGGAAATAAGCAAGCTATTCACATCTTGAGCTTGGTTTTGTATACAGTGGAGTACTATTCTGTCATAAAGAAGAATAAGCCTGAGACAATTTCAGGTAAACACATGCACTTTGAAACTATACTTTTAAGTAAAAGAAATCAGACACACATGCCTAAATATCACTATCACTCTATTTCTCTTTTGTGTGAAACCAAAGACATCAGTAGAGAAAAAAATGGATGACAGACATTGGGAAGTAGGAAGAAATGCCCAAATGGGAAGGGGAGCAAGGGAGGGGAAAAAGGGAAGAGAAGGTAGACAACAAAAGGGAAACAATGGTGAGAAAGAGGGGGAAGAGAGGTGGGAGGGAGGGAAGGGAAACACGAAAAAAACAATAATCGAGATACACAGGTACAAATTCTCTGATTAGTGTGATCTTTATGTATCTAAAATTTACCAATAAAATTAATCTTAAAAAAGTGTTTTTTTAAATAAGTAAAAATGACTAATAATTCAACTAATTCAAAAGCATTGAGGGGGACCTGCAATTAAAACAAATTTATGTGGATACAATAAAATTTGTTTTCACTTCTTACCTGAAGGAATAAATTTCATCCAGCCCATCGGCTCCCTCTAAAGACAGCATCACGTCCCTCACCATCTGTACACCTTCTTTTTGCTGCTCGGTGATTCCTTTTTGAAGAAAAAAGGGCCCATGGTCCCCCAAGGGCAAGGTGCCAACTCCTCTGTCTCCAGTTCCATCTGTCTTGCCAACTGGGAAAGGCAAACTACAGGAAAAGAGCATGAGCTGTTAAGATAAGCTTCAAAGCAAATGGTAGGCTAGGCTCCAGTGCAGAGAAAATGGGCTGGTCAGACAATTTCATGAAGCTTCCTATTTGTCATCTGTCAAATGGCACCTACCTACCTTAGCCAATGCTATATTCTCGCCATTTGTGGTAACTGAAACCGCTTTGATTTGGTAAAAGGCGGAAGTTTATTGGCTTACATAAGCACATAATTGAAAAAGCAGGGTTACATACGGACTTAAGATACCAGACCCAGAGTCTCAAATGCCATGATGTCTGACCCTGCACTACCTCTGAGCACTGAGCCTTCATCTGTCTATACATTGGCTTCACTCTCTCCAAATGGTTCTTCCCCATTGCCTCTGAATACACTCACGCTGTGCTGTGCTCTGAATATGCCCCCAAAATGCATTCTAAAAGTTCATCATTAATGTGATATTATAAGACAGGACCTTTGAGAGGTAATTAAGTCCCGGTGGTAGAGCCTGAGAATTCAGAACAGTGGCCTTACAAATGACCGAGGACAGGACTCTTCTGCCCTTCTGCCTTCTGGAGACACAGCAACAAGCAAGAGCTTGGAAGCAGAGCTCCCCCACCAGAAACCTAATCTGCTATGGCACTGATCCTGGACTTCCCAGCTCCAGAACTGCAAGACATACATCTCTTTTGTTCATAAATTACCCATTCAAAGGTGTTTTGTTACAGCAACAGTGATGGACTAACATAAGCTCACACTGTCTAACGTAGAATTAAGAGGGACTGGGGCTGGAGAGATGGCTCAGTGGTCTAAAGCACCTACTTGAAACAAGCTTGCTAAAGCACAGGGACCGCGGTTCGATCCCCAGCACCACATGCCAGCCGGCCCTGCCCCCTGGTGGGCTGAGCTGGCCACACACACACAATAAATAAATGTAATAAATAAAAATAAATAAATAT